TGGCCTTCCAAGAGCTTCTGAGGAGCCCCCAAGTTTGCAAAACTCTGCAGTGCATTTTCTTGTTTCGTTTAAAAAATCTATTTTCTTATACCCTTGTGCCAACTGCTTAAGGGACTCAGATGAGATAGTAACTTCAGGAGACCACCAGGACATCCTGGCACCTGAGTAACAGCGACACTGAACAGAGCCATTAGGAATAATACTCTTATAAAGGCCAGGCGGACATAAAGGAATAGTGAATCTTTATGCAATTTTTGTAAATTTTTTACCTCATCATTCAGAAACATCAATCAGACCAAAGCTTGAATTTTGAAACTCAAAATTAATAAAGCATTTAATGAAAAATCTATAATGTTACAGATGAGGAGGCAGAACCAGGGAGATTGAGCACTTGTAACGCAGGTGATGGCTGAGAATCCAACCAGTTCTGAAGAAAGCGCATCTGAAACAGCTGCTCTTCATTGCTGCCTAGATGATGAATGACAGTTTTCTTTCATTCCTAGTCTTTCTTTCTTTTTTTTTTTAATTTTTATTGTTGGTTGTTCCTAATCTTTCTTTAGTATTTGGAATTTCCATTCCAAACCTTGGCTTTCTATCGGGACTTTCTTGATCTTTCAAAATCACAGGTTGTTTGGAAAGAAAACAAAAAACAAAATATAACAAAACATAAAAACCTTTTTATGTTCCTCTCAACACCATGCACAGTTTGCAATTGGTTTAAAGTAGACTTTCTTTTTCTTTTTTTGGTACCAGGATATGAACCCAGGGGCACTCAAACACTGAGACACATCCCCAGCTCTTTTTTTTATATTTTATTTAGATAAAGGGTCTCTCTAAGTGCTTAGGGCCTTGCTAAGTTGCTGAGTCTGGCTTTGAACTTGTGATCCTCCTGCCTCAGCCTCCTGAGCAGCTGGGATTATAAGCATGCACAGCGGCACCCAGCTAGACTCCCTTTTTTAAAACGTCATTTTAAACTGTCTCATTTTGAAACAAAGTAGTTTTTTTGTCTGTTCTGTGACCTTGAAGTTTGCATTATATCTTCAAGCAAATGGTTTGTATAGGACATTATGTTTCTTGAGACACATATCAAGGAACTTATTACAATCATTTTGACCACAAAAGAAATAACTATTGTCATATACGAGAAAACATTCTGCAGGGAACAAGAGCCTTCAGCAACAGAAACACAATTATTGACATCTCAGTCAAGATAACATTTTTTGTTCCCCTATGGTGGAATTATCTGACACGTTGAGTATCTTTATTTGTACAGTAAGGGATTATGAGAGTAATTTTCTGAAATATGAATAGAAAAATATACACCCAGAGTTGCCTTATAGTGGGATTTTCATTTAACAGATTTACCTTAATGACCTATTATATTATCTACATTCTAAATCTATAGATCCTTGATAAAACTGGTCCCATTAGACACCAGCATGCATCACACAAACAAGATAATTTCTTTTTAAAGTGGCCAACAGCTCAAAACAGATGACTTCATTTCCCATACTAAGTCTTCATTAACATTTTTTTCTTTAAATCTGAGCTTGACTAGGGCTGTCATTTAAAAAAAAGAAAGAAAAAAAAAGTCACTTGATTCAAAGCTTCTTAATTGGCTTTTAAAATGTAAAGGTTAGATAGTAAATGTGAAAAATTCAAGAATATTAAATACTCATTAAATATGATCAATCTTTCCCCAAACAAATATAATATTCTGTAATTTTATTTATCCCTTAAAAATTTCCAAAGGAACATTGTATTTTAGGTTATACTGCATAATAATTGTCCGGAAATGAGGCTTATTTCCTAGGTAACGATTCCCTAAAGGTTTTAATCACATCATCTCATGTTGGTAGCTTCTTGTTAGAATAGGTGCCAGACCATCTTATGAAAAAATGTCTGGCACACAGAAGCAGTAGAGTAACAGAGTTAAAACTGTAAACTATTGAGTCAGACTAACTAGGCTCAAATCCTGTCTTTTCCAACTACTACCTGCATGACTTCAGGAAGATTCTTAAACTTTTTTTGCACGTTGGTGTATTCATTTTAATGATACTTGCTTTAAAAAAAAAAAAAAAAAAAGGTTGTTGGGAGAATTAAATGAGCTGATTCATTCCTGGAACAGCACAGACAGAGTGGACAAAGGTTGCCACCATTACTAATACAAAAGTCATCCTCAAGAATCATTATCATACAGCAGTTGTTATGTCACGCTCTGCATTATTATTTTAGTAGGCTCTTCATAACTAATTATGAATAAATAATTATAGAAAAACATTCTTTGCCTTGAAGTATCTGAAGTTTAAATCCCCTTATGTTGAAGTAAGACAGAACATGAAGATGTAGTATAGACTTGAAAGTGCCTTTCATTTTTATCCAACCCTTTTCMCACAAGATGACTGAGGATTATAGGGCCTGGCCCAAGCAGAGATCTCTTAGGGTGGAGCTGGGCAAATAGAGCATCTCTGGCCAGACCCAGGCTTCAGAGAAAAGTCAAAGATAGGAAGAGGAGAAACCAAGATCTGTAAGTCAGAGAATCAGGCAAACATAGAGGAAGCCCAGAAGTCTAGTGTCTGGAGAACCATTGGAAGACAACAAAYGCATCAGAGAGAAGTCTGACAGGAYYGCTAGGACCTAGGTRTCCTGTGAAGTGCTGTTGCTCGGGGCTTTGTCATGAGACCTGGTTCCTGGGCATGGAAGCCATATGAACACGCTGGGGACGGGACTGGGCAGTGGGCACCTTTCTCATTTCTCTTCTCACTGCACTGCATAGACTGCACTGGACTTAACCAGAATTTTAGTATGGGTTAGGACACACTCAAGAAGATAGACCCAGTTTTAAAGAAGACTGGCATCTATTTACAACCTCATGGCAAAAGATGAAAACCTCTCGCTCAGTAGTGAAAAGATAAAGGTGAGTTCTGCCTGACAGGGACGTCCACACCAGAGCACAGCCCTGCGGTAAGGTGCCAACAGAGGGGGGGAAGTAGAGGCCACTGCGTCTGGTGATTTCAGACTTCTCAAAGGTTACTTTGGGGAAAAATAAAGAAACAAAAATAACAGAACAAATGTCAAATCAATAAAGTTGACTTGTGTCTGAAATGAGTCATCCTCAAGAAAAGGATCTTCATTTGCGCTGGCTTTTCTCTAAATGGGTACAGGAAAGTAGCAGGCTCCTGCTCAGAGTCCTGGGTGGTCATCTTGTCYGGCAGCACACACTGGGCACCAGGTGAGACCCTTCAGGGAATTCAGGTAAGAGCTGAGAGCAAGGACGGCCTGTGYAGCTCTGGGCTCCCCATGAAGGGAAGCCACCGCGCCCACGCATTGCCCTTCCAGAGGTTTTCCCGGATTCACTGAGGAAAATATGTCCGATGTCTCAGAAGGACCCAGAGAAGAATTCTGTTTAACAACTCTCCCCCTCTCTCCACACACCTCCCTTCATATATGCAAAGATATAAGTATATAGATTATAAATATAAATTGTTAACATATAACATATGTTTAGGTGTAGTTTTTGTTAGGAAATAATGTTTAAAAAAAAGAGACTTTAAAATCATGTGTATAAAAATAAAGTGCATGTGAACTCAAATAAGAGCATATTTAAAGAGATATAAGACTTTATCAGGATCTAATCAACGAATATGAAAAGGAGCTTCTTTGCATAAGTTTGTATTGCTTGAACCTGTGGTAGAAATGAATTGTGATGGCATTGTAATGTATGGACATAAAGTATCTGAATGTAGTTATTTGTTAATATTCCACTAGATGCTATATTGCTGGAAAATTGCTCAACTTATAACAAATACTATCACAAAGAAACAGGGAGACTTAACAGGTTTGCATGAAATACCCATCTCAATGTTAGAAATAGCTTTTTTTTCTCAGTAAAATATTTACACAATTTGCATTCTCATTTTTAAACAAACACTATAGGACTTTTCTACGCACAAGATCAGTATCTGTGGGTTCCACAAACAAGATCAAAAGTATTCAAAAATAAGTATCTATATTGAACATATACATTCTTTCTCTCATAATTATTCCCTAAGTAATGCCAAGTAACAACTATTTATATTATTTCACATTGTATTAGGTACTATAACCAATCTAGAAATGATTTAAAGCATAATATAGGATTTGTCAAGATTATTTATGATTCTATGCCATTTCATACAAAATAATTGGTATCCACAGATTTGGGTACCCATAGGGTAWCCTGGAACCAGTCTCCTATAGATAYGAGGACAGTAGGACACTCTACTTTTCTTTTCCCCTTTTTTAGAATTTTCATTCCTTCTTTTTTTAAAAAAATATTTTCTTAGARTCTATATTTAAGTGAAAACATATACTATATGCTGATCTAAAAACTATATCTCATTGAAATAGAGACTGAAATGGTGATTACCAGTGGAGGAGGGAAGGGGAAAGGGAAGATGTTGATCACAGGGTAGAAATTTTCAGTTAGACCTCAGGATAAGTTCTGGTGACCTATTGTACTGCAAGGTGACCACAGTTAATATGAATCATATGCCTCAATATTACTGAAAAAAAATAACCGTTTAACATTCTCACTATAAAAAAAAATATGTTGTTGAGTTTGTAAGTATATGAATCGACATGATTTCCTCTTCTACGATGTATTTATGGATCAAAACATCACCATGTAGCCTGTAAATATTTATAATTATTATGTCAATTAAAAATAAATTAATACAAAAGAAAATGCATGGAAAGAACTTAAAAAATTTTGCAAGAAAATCCATAAGACAAGTGCATTTTTGAAAATATRGCAAACAGTCACTTCAATATCTAAAATTATTCTTCCTCTCGATATACTCATTACCAAACACTGATAAATAATGAGGAAACAGCTCCGATAGCCTTTTAAATTTAAATACTAAAGCAGAAATGGCAGAACCCATAGAATTTTCTGGATTTTGTTGCTGCTGCTGCTGCTGCTGCAGAATGATTGGCAGCATCTTTGGCATGCTACTTACTGATGGGTAGAGGTAACCTTCTCCGTTCATGGCTATATACAACCCTGTCTTCACACCCTGGATGGCAACGACACGCAGTCCCACTGGGATGAGGTTGAACAGTGCTGGAAAGATAAACATCCGTCATGAGTGGGCAGGAAGAGGGGAAGCAACCCACAACTCTTATCTTGCTCATTTACTTAAGAAATATCTTTATTGCTACTATCTGAGATGTTCCAATTAAGTAACTTTTATTTCTGTTTATAATGAAGAAGACTCTGCTGTGGGTAAAATTAGCGCTGCAGCTCCAATTTGTAAGTCTTCCTAGCATTCTTGCCTGCAGCATTCTGAAGAACTGGTGGGATAATGGGCAGAACTGAGCCTGTAATTATGGTTCTAGTATCACAACATCTGACACCATTGGATTCCAAAAGACATCAGCTGTGAAGAGTCTCAGAAGGCCGGATTTCAAAAGTCCAGGTTGAACGGTTATTCCCATCTATCACATAGGGAAGGTGTGATTGGTCATTGCAGTGTCGTGCAGGCCAAAGTTAAAAAGGTAACGCCAAAACCAAGTTACTTTTGCAGAACTAATGTGATATACCAGCAAAGCCAAGAAACGATGTGCATCTGATCTGCCAAGATGTGGAATGTTTGGGTTAAGAGAACCTTAACCTAATCAGTGTTACTCCTTTGATAGGTCTTAACTGGGTGGTAACTGAAGGCAGGTAGGGTGTGCCTGGAGGAGGTGGGTCCCTGGGGCATGCCCTTGGGTTTATATTTTGTCCTGTTGAGTGGACTTTTCTCTCTTCTTCCTCCTGCTATGTCCTCAGCTGCTTTTGTCTATACACCCTTCCACCATGAGATTCTGCCTCATAAAAGGCCTGAGGAAAGGAGTCAACCCTCTATGGACCACGAGACCTCTGAAACTGTGAGCCCCMAAATATACTTTTCCTCCTTAAAATTGCTCTTACCAGGTCATCAGTCACCGCAGCAAAAAAGCTAACTAAAACAGTTTTCAGATTTTCCCACCTAATAGATAAAAACTCACTATTTTGTTTYTTCCTTTGTTAGTAAAGTGTTTTTATATATGTTCCCACAGTGTAGTTAGCAATGCTATCATTGATGTTTTTAAGTCTTAATACCCCTTAATGCATTTCCATGACTGTTTAGTAAGTTTTCTAGCATATTCTAATTTGATAAATGCTTGATGATGTTAAAGATTYCATTGTAGAAACATTTATAAGAGAACTGTTAATAATCCACARTGCTGTTATCTATGCCTTCTCAGGTCTTTATTAACTCAAATCGAATTCTAAGCAATAAGACCAAGCAAGAACTGGCATCGCAAGCACTAAAATGCGATAGTGAATGCTTAAGTAAAATGTCTTAACTTTAAGCCTTTGACTCTCTTCCACAAAAGACAAATCACTTGAAAATTGTGGGCTTTTGACTTCATTCTCAGGGTCTACTCAGTGCATAATTTAAAAACTTTAACAYTGTGTTCTGTTTTATTCTCAGAGACATGTTTTTGCCTAATAGGGTGGAGAAAGACACACCCCGTCTTCCAATGATTACATGTTACTGCTCYCGAGGCCTCAACATGTCTGCATTGAACAAATGATGAAAGGAAAATAGCACATCATGGCCACAGAAACTCACCCTAGAAGAATGCTTGGGGTACACATACACATATGACTCATTGTATATCCGTTTYCACTATGCAAACTGAAGTTAGGCTGTATTGCATAGGATTCTGAGGATTATTATACCCTTATGGAAAAAGAGGTTTCTTTTGCTCATTTTCTATTGTTTAATATTGAACATGGGGTGGTATTGTTAGGTATCAGGAGGTACCTTACAATTGTAGCTTCTTTGTGGGAGAAAGCCAAGTTCATTCTTGTGTGGGAAACCTGAATTGTATCATCTCCCTTACATTTTGAAAGRATAAGAACTGTAAAATCATTACTGATTTGTATGAAAAATTTTAAGGTAAAACATAATCATATACCTGTCTATGCAAACTATTCTAACCTGACTCAAATCTAATTATYTCACCCTTCATCCTTCTAGTGGTATTTTAAGTGCCATATATTTGATGTAAGGCAGATAGTATAATTCTAGAAGGCCAGTGCATCATGAACTCACCAAAATAATGTGGTGTGGTAAAGAGAAAAATTCTAGAAATATACTTTAAACCATAACAAAAATATTATTTTTTTCCCCAGAATTTTGGAAGAAACCTGAATTATAAACTATAAACTKATTATCATTTACAGAAGACAATAAGAGAAGAATCCATGGAAACACCACAATGTGGAGAACTATCAGAACACACTGTGATGGGGCTGGGGAGCTAGTGAAAAACACAGATACATTAATTAAGAATTAGAATGTTCTACTCTTTTGGAATTTTACACCATTATAAATCAATGGTATAAACCCTAGGGGATAAAGAATAACRAAGGTGATCCTGCAACTTTGTTCATTCTGTGGAATAATCTAGCYTCTACACAACAGTGGTTTTCAACCCCGGCTTAACATTAAAACTGGCCATGTTTWCATGAGAAAATGACCAAGCCCATCTCCAGACCAGTGAAATCAGAATCCCTAGGAGTGGCTTTAGGGTTTAAGGATTTTGTTATTGTTGTTGTTGTTGTTATTAATATTATTAAGAAAGCTCCTCAACTGAGCCTAACACAGTTCAGGTAAAGAATAGCTATCCTAAAGCCTGTGGGGTGTTATGACAATGTTTACACATCAAGTTTAGTGGCAGGGCATTTCTAAGCAGAGAGAGGTTGTTTTAGAAGTTTTGATATTTTCATAAATATTAGTGCATATATAATATATAATAATATAATATATATATTACCATTAAGCATCTATTAAGTCTGATAATGGGTAAAAAGAAGTTTAACAACAC